GAGAGGACTGGTTCGGGATCGGGAAACTTTTCGACTCGCATCGGCCTCGACTGTCCAGCTGACACGTCCTCTATCACAGATCTACGTGTATGTGTACACGTTGGGCAAGGGCGTGAAGGGCCTAGCGATGAGTCCGCGGGGTACGAGATAGACAACAGGACGCGATGTCCAGCATGCGTGGCGCAGGCCTCTAACTCCGCGTCTCTGCGGGCGACCATTGCACGCAACCTGAGGATCTCCGCGTCGGATTGCTCCTTCGTGCGAGCATGAGCTTGTCTCTCCTCCTCTAGTCGCCGCGACATGGCTTCGAGAAGAGCAGCGTGGATGGCATCGCGGTCACTGTCTGCTCGTCGCGAGCTCTGAGTGAGAGGTGCTGGGTCTAGGGAAGCCGCCACGGACACCCGCATAATGGAGTAAGCTCGCGTGGTGGGAATGTGAGGGACGGATGTGACCAACCTACAGGCCGCGCAAGGCTCATACGAGAATAGGGCCAGACAGAGTAGTCATTACATCTCTCGACTAGAGGAAAAAGTCATGAGCATGGGTAGTGCTACGTACGCAACCTTCAACGCCTTCTCACAGACTTCAGGCATCGACGAATTGTACCATCGCGGCTGAACTAGTGGTATAGTCCGCACGTCGCGAACTACTAGGGTGCGACGATAGGGGCTTCATCCCCATGGCACCAATGGTGCCACTAGATTGAACAGCGACTTCATTCAATGCCCCATGTCCACCTCATGGACGGTAGATGCACTTTGATCTCAGACTGAAATAAGTACACACCTTTCTCGACCAAGATGGTAACCACCTCGCGCATTTCGTCCCTCTCCGCCTCCGCACGCTTCACTTCATCCAGATAGCGGTCCAGCTTCTCGCTCAACTTCTCCTTCGCGCGCTTCTCCGTCTTCAGCTCCTTCTGGTGCGCGGTTCGCGACGCGTCCAGCTCGTCGAGGGTCGCCATAAGGCGCGTCTGCATCTGGGAAAGCCGCATGTTGCAGAGCTCCAGCTCCTTAAGAAGCCGCGCGACCTGATAGCCGTCCCAGTCATGCTAATCAGTCGCAGCTCAAACTCCGTGGAACAGATAGACACATACCTCGGCATCGCGTCGCGTACTTGAGCTTCCCTGAGGATCCTGCCTGATACCGGGACCCATGCGAGAGATTTGTATCCAAAATTACCGATAATTTACGCGTAGATGTTTACAGACGAGCAGTACAGGGTTACACAAGCATCAGCAGAGCATCCAGAAAGCAAAAACACGGAAAGCAAGGAGGGAAATCGTGGTCAAGAGGCAAGCACAAAAGCGGCGAGAACAATACCAACCATCCGGCGTTTACCCACTAGCGCCCTAAGGGGTCCAGACCGTCCGAGACAGTAAACACTTCGGTAGTCTTCCTACCTCTTCCTACACTGAGGAACGTTAACCATGCTTATCCTGGCAATGAGCGACCCCCAACCACTAGCTTGAAGCTCCGTACGGCGGTGAGAAATATTTCTTTCCCCCATTTCATGTGTTACTTGGCGACTGAAACTTTCTTTTGTTGCACACCCATCATTAGTGCAGAGCATGCACCCTATACTGGCATTCCAACAATACTACGTGTATATGTATCGCAAGCGGAGTCATTCAGGAAAGTCCGTGTTGCAGAGTCCGTATAGAGTCCTCGTTATTTGAAGTCCCGATGAAGTCCATGTGATCCTTTCACAGGACCATCACAAAACGTCTGCAGAAACGTCTGTAAGTCTGGACTCGACAACACCATAGACGACTGGAGTACGCACCTCAAGCTGCACCATCGTCACAGCCCGCACACGGACGCGTCGACCTGCTGCACCGACGCGTCGATCCGCCCAAGGAACACAGCCTGCCCGTCCGTGAGCGTGTTCATCGCCTCCAGAGCAATGTTGAAGCCGTCGTCGGCGTGGTCAATGGCGAGTATGTTGATGCTCTTGCCATTGTACGTCAGCTGCCAGCACGACCCGCACTGCGGCGAGTCGAAGCCCGCGATGGCGGCCGCTCCCCCGATGTTGGGGAAGATCGGGAGCGAGCCAAAGTTCGGGAAGCCCTTCGGGATGAGCCCGTTCGGCCCGTCGGAGCATGCGACGTCACTCATGCTGCCAGACGGGTTGTCGTACGTCTCGTCGTACGATACCGTCACGGCGAGCGCGGAGGAGACGAGGGCGGCGAATGCGAGGAGGGAGGTGAACTGCATGATGGTGACGATGTCGAAGGGGAGAGGCTCGAGCGACCGAATGTGTCTGAGTGCGAGAGCGAGAGAACGATGGGTCGATGCTGGAGCACTGTTGGCCTTGAGGACGTCGTTTTATAGCTGCAGTTCTCGCTGTCGACGGCACCCTTGCCCGCAGTGGAGAACAGTTCACAGTTTAGACGACCGCGGGCGAACATGTCCGAGACCATGCTATGCTGGATGCCTGCCACTCCAGTAAGTCAGCCTTCCGCCGGCCGAGAATTATGATCGAGGCCATGAGACCGCCTCGCGGGCATTCACTCGCCGTCTGGGTGTGACAAGAACGCCAGAGGCTAACCATCCCATCGATGACATGGGCCGTCTATTGAGACGCGAGGCTTCTCAATCGGTGAACGAGATGGAATAAGTATAGCCAGCACTAGGCTCCTGTACGCTGCGGGAAGTATTCTGTGAGTGTGGGTAGCGTAACAGATACACGGCATTGGGACTTACATGTCTGCCGAGTCCTGTGTAGCCAAAGCGCGGACGCTGAAGCTCAGTACACCAGTGTCGGCAGAGGGAGACCGCACGCCAAAGAGACTTATTCCTGTCTTCACCTACGTAATGTACGGTTAGCTGGACGGCCTCGCTTTTTTGAACGTTCGGTCCGAGCCCGCGCGGACTCTGCTAGGCCTAAGTATGATACACTTCCCTGGTATCACGCCGCAGTCAACACGCGTACGACTATATTAGAATCCGCTTGCCAGCGAACGGGAATAATATGACACGATTATTGGTGAACAGAAGGAGTCACTTTGCATTACTAGGAGTTGTGACTTTGTGCGTAGGGGTGTGGAAAAGAGGATGAGACATCGGACCATAATCAGGACCTAGAGGGGGCGAGCAAGGCTCATCGCCTCGCATGGGCAAGAGACGCAGTTCGTCCGTTTCAATTTGAGCGGGACATCGCCGTCAAGGAGAGTAAGCACCTGGCGCAAGAGAGAGTCATACGTCGGCCAGGAGATCATCTTGTTGGACGCGCCGTTGGGGTCGAGATGCGTCGCGAACTGAATGATGTAAGTAGTCCGTGAGCTCGTTACCAAGCGCGAGAGCGGGAAAGAAGTCGCCTCCGTGCGCCCTGTCAGAGCACCATCAGTCGATCTTGAGCGGGCTCTAGACACGGACAATTGTCACCCACGTATCCAAGGCCAGGCGAGCTGCGGCGCTTGCTGACTCGTCGCCCGTAGTCCTTAGTGTGAGTTCTACTATGAGAGAAGAATGGTACACACTAAATGACCAGGTGGGCTGTTTGAATGACGGCTGGTCAAGGAAGAAGCGCCTCCGAGCCTGGAGGATGATGTCGCCCTGGAACGCAGCCATGCGCTTGTACATCTATGCCAGCTGGTTCGCATTCCCTGTGCCGACGGGCGAGCCCTGAGCCGGGTCGTTGGGGTACAGGTCGAAGATTGGAGCAATCAGTGCCTTGGGCGCGCGCAGGAAGAAGAACTCGTGGACATAGTCGCGGAACTGGTCCTCGGTGCTGCATATCGCTTGGGTTGGCTTCGCTGGACGATGTACAGGGTGAATAGTGCATGATTTATGTCGAAATAGAGCTGCCAATTGCGAAGATAGTGTCGCCGCTGATGAAGGGGATCTTCGCCACTTGACCGGCCAACACCAGGTGCTGAGGAGGTGCTGTCAAGAGGACGCCATTTGCGGGAGGAGCCCAGGGAGTAGCGAAACCCTGTCAAGCACAAATGAGTTATCCTCGTCTTAATCGTTACTGTTCTAGACAGCTCACGATGTATTCAAAAAAGTTCGGCAGCGTGGCTTTTGAGCGACCAGAGTCTGAGGCGGGACGTTGCGAAGGCAGTCAACAGTGTGGCGTTCGAGCAGCTAGCGTGCTGGACAAACTGGCCGTGATACTGCTGCTGTTCGGCGATGTCGCCGGTAGGAATCGGGGAACCGGCGTTCATGATCGCACCCGGGAAGAGGCCCTCGGTGTTGCCACCATTCGTGACCATCTGAAGTGCTGGAGAGATGGCGCCGGAGCAGCTGCGAGGCAAACAGGAGGTGGTCGGTCTCCCGAATGACTCCGAACCGCGTGGAGACGTACATTGTGACCTTCTTGGGATCGCCACCAAACGCGGAGATGTACTTCTGGACCCAGCGAAGAGCCTCACGTTCTGTATCTGGTATGAGAAGGCTCATAACAGGGCAGGAAGGCTTCTTGAACTCGAGGTCCTACAGACCCAAATTGCCTACACCTGCCTCCTCGACCTCCTTACCGCCCAGGAGCCCGAAGGCTAAAGAGGAATTGGTTAGCCCAGAGCCCCAGAGAAGTGGTGGATCTCCGTACCGTGAAGGCGATAGTTCAGAGCGACGTAGATGACTGGTTTGCCAAGCTGTACGGATTGTGCTACAACGACATCACCTGGCATCCTGACAAGTGGTGAGCCTCGTCGCTGGGCTGTCGTTCGCAGAGAAAGACGTACTGTGAGGATAAGCCGATGGTAAATCCCCCTACATCAGGAGAATACGGTCAATACTCGATTATGACTGGGATACTATCCATCGGGCCGCGCCATGCCTACCTCCGAAGATAAACTACAGGGTCGGTCAGCCGACTGTCGTTCACTTTGGAATGTATCACCACTTACGACAATGACAGGAAGCTTGTCACAGTTCACCGAGCTGCGAGCACATCTGTGGGTTCCATGCGGGCTAGCGGTGGCTAGCTAGTAGTAGTAGCACTGTAGAAGCCGCGACTGGGGATTGTGGGTGTTCGGATGAAGGGGGAGAAAAAAAGGGCCCAACCGGGAATTGAACCCGGGACCTCGCGCATACTGTGGTCTTCCGACCGGGAACCCCCGAAGCGCGAATCATACTACTAGACCATTGGGCCTCGGTGAGTTTAACAGCATTGCATATATAATCATTATTACGGCGATTTTCGAACTGGTCCCCGCTGCCGCGAGCCCGTGCTGACCGCAACCTGACAAGTACCACAGCATCACCCGCTAGGTGGTGACTGACCTCGGAAGTCGAGGACGGCCCATGGAAGCGAGGCGCACTCTCCCGCAGCCGAAGCTAGCAGGGCCAATGGGGGGTCTGGTCACCAGTGCCGGCATGCAGATCGTCGCTGAGTTGAATGCATGATAGAGGCCGGCGCTGTGCTGTGAGCACGGCATCAACTCGATACCTTTAGAACAGGTGTGTATAGTACCAATACCTATGTCAGTGACGGCTGATATTTGTGTGCACGCAGAAGATAACTGGCACCTCACGAGTTGCAGACCATGTTGCTGCGGGGTTCTCGGTCGACACGTTCGCGCATAGGCAGTACTGCATTGGTATGAAGGAATGTACTACACAACTCCAAGTTGCAACCTATCAAGACAGAGGCAGGCTTGGATTGCCTCCTTTCCTACTGTCGAGACCAGAACAGTGCGGGCTGGTCAGATAGCTCGACCTTGAAGACAAGATGCACATCCGCCTCGAAGACGTCCATCCTCCTGCGCGCCGGGCCAGTCTGTCCCACCCAGAACAGGGCTTGCAAGTATAGGGAGGAGATGTCGAACTTCGCAACGTACCAGGGCGAGTTGGTGTGTTTACTCCAATCGTGCGCTCTGGCGTCGCACTGACAGAGAACCTAAGTATCGCGACCAGGCAAGGGAACTAGAGAGACGTACCTTCAAGAACTTCTCGTAGGCCCTAGCCACGGCGACGGCGACAGAGCCATAGGTGCCATCTGGCGTGACAATGTAATTCCATTCACGCTCCTCCTCGGGCCACTGCGCAATATCCCATCCGAGTCAGTAACCACCGAGTGACGCCTCGGATATTGCAAGCGATGTACTCACCCTAATACGCAGGCAGAACTTCCGGGCGTAAATGCGATCATCGACCTTCTTTGACCACTTCACGCCCCGCCAGATGAGCTGTTGCGCACCCAAGTCCCAGCGAAGGATCTCCTCCATCGGCGCGCCTCGTGCGTTCTCCGAGAAGAACAATGGCGAAGGCGGGAAGGACCAATCCGGCAGCGGTACCTTTTCGAGCCCTGCGCCGAGCTCCACCGGAAGGCGCGTGCGGAACTCCTCGTCTTCGAAGGCGAAGTTGTAGCCCATGCCGGTGCTCGCCCAGTCGAACGGCTTCCTGGAGGCGTCCTTGGCGTGTACCCATTCGATAGGCGAAGTCTCAGACCGTGATTTCGGGATGTGGATTGGCGTGAGGGTGATGCCAGAGCGCGTGAAGATGTGCCTGCTCGGGGCGGTGGTTTCGCCAGTCTTCGAAGGCATATTAAGGAAGTGCGGTGAGAAGCGCAGGTGCGAGGTGACGTCTCCATGTTCTCTCAGAGTCGACGGTTCTTATGACTTCGTGCAGGGCGACGCTTTGTTCGAGTGAACTGTGGCGGCGGTGTCCAAGCGAAATGTGAATCCACTGCATTGCGCCCGGAAGGTCGCCGAAAACACACGAGGCAATACATAGCACCAAAGCGGACCAAAGCCTACCAAAGCGCGCTGCGGAAGAACGCGTCTAGTATGTGGACACGACTTCTCTATTGTGTGTACTCGTGTATGACTCCAGGCTCCGGCACTCTTAGTAGCCACTGTGTAGCTCCGAACCGTCGGGCCAAAGCATGTGGTGCGCGATTATGCTTCCATGAGCTGCGTCGACGGAGCAGCGCTAACCCGCAGCGACGAGCAACGGTCAGTTCCAGTATCCTCCCGTCGGAAAGAGCTTCGAACTTCATGATATGACTCGCATGTGTCCGGCGTGCCAGCAAGATCCATGCCATGGCAAACACCCAAGTACTGAAACGAAAGTGAATATTTGTACAACACGACAAGGAGATTACCCATAGATACACGACCCCTCGCCTGCCCAAGCCTACTTGACGAGTTCGAAACAATCCCAAAATCCATCGGGAAGCTCGACTGGCCGGAACACCTCATGCACCTCAGCCTTGAAGTTATCTCCACCGATACACTGCAGGGAGACGAGATGGAGGGTGCTGAGCTCGGTGAGACTTCCCCATGGCCCCCGTGCCTCCTGCAGCGAAACCGACTTCGATCGGCGTGAGATACGCCACGGCCTCTGATCGACCGTGCCGTACCACTCCCACTCCGATGCGCGCTGGTAAGTACAAATCACAGTGAGTCGAGTTTGGTGGTGTAGTGAGAACGACGGAGCTCACCGTCATGTAATACTGGTATGCCTTCGCGATCTCTACTGCGATCTCGCCGCACACCCTGCTTGTATTCTTGACCGTCGCGTTCAATATCGGCCCGGGCTTTGCGTTCGATATGAACGTCCGTGGCGAATACTGTGGGTACCCAGGCCACTGCAATGTCCCGGGACATGTCGTCAGCTTTCTGAGGACCCATAGATCCCTCGCAAGCCACGCACGGTAACATTTATCCAGAAACCCGGAGAGAGTGCGTCGCTGATTTGATGGTACGCCCTCCCCATCTTCCGCCGCAGGTATTCCGGATCGGACGCCCATATGAGCAGGTCCGACATGGCAATGCCTCGTCCGTCTTCGGTGAAGTAGATAGGCTTCGTAGGCCATGCTGGCCTCTCGATACGCTCCGGCAGCTGGGGCGGTGGCGCTGGTATGCCCACTCGGAGTATCTCGTCCGGGAAGGCGAAACTGGGCTCGTAGCACCGCGGCATGACATCTGTGACCCACTGTGGGTCCTCGAAAGTAGCGGCGAAGGCTTCTGTGCAGCGCATCGTGGTGAGTAATGGGAGAGGAGGAGTGAGACAAGGCGACGACGGCTTGTACTAGTAGTGCGCATGGGCCTTATGTAGGGTGAGCCACTGACCGTATCTTGTCTGTGCCACCCATCACTGGCACATCTCCGTTGGCAACACCTTCCTGTTCAGGGATATGGTGGCAAACTTCGTACGGACATACGTATGTACGTATGTGTCTGGCAAGAGGAGGATAGGTGCCGGCTGCGAGCGGGGCAGTCCACACCAGGACAGATGATGAGTGCTATGAGCGGCGCCTAAAGGAAGACGGCTAACTAGAGCTAAGTAGACGAATGCACGCGGCAGAGCTAGCAGAATAACGTTCAAACTGAAGAACAAGCTGGGGTATGCTCCAATATTCCGAGATGCGACGCGACAGCAGGGCACCACAAAACAATAGCAGATCTATTGACTGTAGTGGATGAACACCAATGCGAACGGTACCAGTAAGAGTATATGATGAACGTTGAAGAGGAAGTGGCGGGGACAGGAAGCAGAACTAACATAAACAGGAATCTGACGGCAAACTGTCTAGACGACGAGCTCGATTTCGGCCTGATAAATATCACCGTTTATCCAGCACAGACGGCGCAGCCGCATGTGCCACAGATGATGAGGCTCGAAGAGGTGCCCGGTAATGCGCCAAAAGTTAAGCTCATCGGACTCGAACTCCCAGTTGCGCGCTTCCTGGAAAAAGGAGTGGCGTTAGGTTATACGTTCGGTCATGGCGAAAGTACGATGCTTACCCGTAAAAAGTCCCGATAGGCCCGCGCAACAGAGACTACAACGGAACCGACCGTCCCATCATGTTTCAACGGTACCGTGTGGGTGTACTTTTGATAGCCCGGCCACTACAGGAAAGAGGGTCATCAATACGAGTGGCTGGGGAGTGAGGCACGACGAGAGAACGTACGCTGATATGGAGCCATACTTCTTGCATTGCCACCATGATCGGTCGGTCATAGTCCACCCCGAGGGACTTGATATACGCTGGGTCCTCGACGTAGTCAAGGACCTCCTGAAGAGGGATCCCGTCGTCGTGCAGGGGGAAAGGGTTCTTGGGGAGGTCGACCAAAGGCTTGCGCATGACTATCATGAACTCGTCCGGCACCATCCGGGGAACGGAGAGCCGGATCGTCTCTCCAGGAGTGATGGCGTCAAGAGAAGGGGCTGCGGTGATAAGATTCATGGTATAGAGGCAAATGTAGAAGTCGGATGCAGTCGCGAGCGGGATGTGTACTTGCTGGTCGACATGAACCCCAGTTCCACTCGCACTTAAGTACGGCCATGGCTGCAGCTTTGACTTCAGGCTTTGCTCTCGAGACTGCGTGGGTGGGTAGGTCAATGTCAAAGCTGCGAGAAGAACGCCTGCTAGCGGCAGACCAGAGGGGGTCGCCGGGGACGCCCAGTCGCTAGCGAGTACAAAGGCGTCCTGATATGTCACCTGAGGCCCGCTGGTGAGGCGGAGGACAGCAGAAGACAAAGCCCATAAGTCCGCGAGCGTTTAGAACAATGTGCAAGCACTTTTTTTGGTTAAAATAGCCTCGAACATTGGTCTCGGAAGGGAGGCATGCTCACCGAGTACGGTAGGAGGGAGCCTGCTCTAGGGCTACGCTTGGGGATACGCTTCCGCACCGTCAAAGCGTATGATGGAAGATTTGACCGCACCGGGATCGACGGCGGGGCGTGCGTAATGCCGTTGTCAGGATTCGGGGCCGTAAATAGTCAGACTAGCGCCGTAGGACCGGGGAGACCATCGGGCGATTGTTGACATTTCCGTGCAGTTACGAGCAAGAAGACGTGGCAACTAGAAGGCGTAGCTTGATCTGTCAATCCAACAGCCCACGAAGCTGCATGTCGGCTTGCACGCCCGAGAACACGCCAGCGATGCGAAGCCTCTCCTCGCGCAAGTCGAAACTCCAGTGGACGCGGCAACTTGGAGGGCGGTAATCATTATGCGTCTCGTAAGGCCTATCTGAGCCAGTATGACAGTCAGTATACCAACCAGTCGATGCGAGGGGATCCCTATACGAGGAGCTTACTGGTAAAACCGAAAAGGTCACCCCAGGTCCTACTTCAAACCGGTCTGGTTCAGGGCCCGTCATCATTCAGTGTTGCACATAGGTAGTAGGAAAGCACGTACAATGG